GCCCTCACGCCTCCTGTACGTAATTGGTCGGATGCCTTCACGCCTCCTGTACGTAATTGGTCGGATGCCCTCACGCCTCCTGTACGTAATTGGTCGGATGCCCTCACGCCTCCTGTACGTAATTGGTCGGATGCCCTCACGCCTCCTGTACGTAATTGGTCGGATGCCCCGCCTCCTGTACGTAATTGGTCGGATGCCCTCACGCCTCCTGTACGCACCCAATTATCGCTTGCGATCGTAATGGCGATTTATTTGACCGAATGGGCACGTAGGACGGGATGGTTTGACTCCGTGACGGCTACCCTGACAACAGGCAGGGGGACCAACTGGTGGAGGAGATTACGCTTCAAGTGTGGACATTACCTCTCAGCTGATCATTACCGACCCTGTGTTCTTCTCGTATCCTCTCTCATATCTCGCTGTCCGCTGTTATTATCTCCCTCCTTCCCATCCGCTGTGTCCGCCGCGGTGCGCTGACCGTCTGCTGTGTGGCACGCTGTAGTAGGCTGTCGCCGAACCATTAAACCACGGTGCATGTCTGATCACGGAACAATAGCGATGATACTGAATATGGTTGAATTTGCAGGGTATCAGTTCTTTCCAATGTCTTGGCTTTGTCCTGCTCGTGAAGTTGTTGATGAAGGCGATGGTGCTGCAACTGACTGACCGTGCTGCGTGGTTGTGTGAATCGCAGGCGTGGGTACCAAGATTGACCCGACACTGTGCCGCGCCGACCGGATGGTGGGTCACGTGCTGGGTGCTGTGGGCGTCCTGCCCGACATCTTCACCGAGCTCGAAATCTCACTCTTTCTGCTTCGCCGGCTGCTCGGAGTCCGCACCGAAGGAGACAAAAAGGGAGCCAGGGTAAGCACCGAATGAGACAAAAGAGGAGCCAGGATAAGTACCAAGGGAAATAAAGAGGTAGCCAGGGTAAGCACCAATGGGGGTTAAGAGGGAGCCAGGATGAGCACTGAGGGAGGTAAAGATGGAGCCAGGGGAAGCACCGAGGGAGATAAAGAGGTAGCCAGGGTAAGCACCACTGGGGGTTAAGAGGGAGTCAGGGTGAGCACCGAGGGAGGCAAAGACGGAGCCAGGGGAAGGACCGAGGGAGATAAAGAGGTAGCCAGGGTAAGCACCAATGGGGGTTAAGAGGGAGCCAGGATGAGCACTGAGGGAAGCAAAGGCGGAGTCAGGGGAAGCGTCAATAGAAGAAGAGGACCCAAGGTGAACACTAAGGGACACAAAACAGAGAACTTCGTAACCTTGGGGGGAGATGGTTGTCAAGGCCTTGATTAGGGTGAGCACAGAGGGACAGAAAGTAACCCAAGAGAGATAAATCTAGCTTGGCTAGAGACCGAGAGAAAAAGTAGCGAAGATAAATCCCAAAGGAGACAACTGAAGGTTAGTGCAGTCATGTAATGCGGCACTTGCGGTTAAGCGACCTGGGAAAGTTGGCGTTGGAAAGTAGGGAGCGGGGTGCCGTAATAAAACGCTGCGGGTGACCAATGATGCAAACCAATGATGGATAACCACTTTTGCTGCCAAGCTCGTTGTGCTGTAGTTTGTAGGTGTCAGTCGGTTGCGTTTTGGGGAGAAAATGTGTATTTGATTAGTGATTTCGACCTGACCTCGTTAAAGATCACGGCAAGCTCTGTTGAACATTACTTTTTCAATTAAGCGGAATGGGGGCAAAGCTTTGAACTTTCTCAAAAAAGCGGCAGGACTGGTTTTGTTTGGACATTAGGCAGAGCGTGGCGTTGATAAGCGTACTTACGCTGGGCTCCGAACGGAGTCAGAATCGTTTCCGAAATCAACTGAATTTTTTGTAGCGCTAGGTCGGGATCGATTCCTTTAATATTCATTGTGAGTCGGAGTGGGAATAAAGCCGACAGGAGCGGCAGTGGATTGGCTTGGATGGATATGCGAGTAACACATATACCAGCGGTATGAAATATTGTGTGCCGATCAAATGGTACTCATTCAGGCATAATTGCTTTGCCATCAAAGTGAAATGTCCCATGTAGGCTTTTGTCAGACTCATGGAATAGATTATCTCCTCGACTGGTTGCCCCAGATTCTGGACCGATTTCAGAGTGGTCGAGTATCCTTGAGTCGGAGTCGTTTCAAAGTTGTGCTGTGCTGCTCGGAGTCACGGTGGCGATCAACCCCGGGGGCTCTGAGTCGGAATCGATTCCACGGAAGCGTAATCAAGTGCGAGTATCCTTATAGGAGGCCCGGTTGACGACAGACTATGCTGTATCTAGGCACTCAAAGTGGCGGTCAGGAGGTGACGAAGGCAGGATATCCAAGATAAATCTCCAAGATAAACCAAGGGATGCAAGGTATTATATTGGATAGGGAGTGAGGAGGAGAGCCAGAGCGATGTGACCATCCGCCGAGGACAAGGATGGCGTGTAGCAAAGAACAAACACTGGGTGTATGTGCGGTATAGAGGGGATTAAAGGGACCACGGGACTAGGGTCTGGTCAAGTGTGCCAGG